CCCTTCACAGACCCTCTCCCTCCCTTCACTGACCCTCTCCCTCCTTGCTCAGCCCCCTCCCTTCACAGACCTTCTCCCTCCCTGCTCAGCCCCCCTCCCTCCTTGCTCAGCCCCCCTCCCTTCACAGACCCTCTACCTCCCTGCTCAGCCCCCTCCCTTCACAGCTCCCCTCCCTTCACAGACCTTCTCCCTCCCTTTACAGACCCTCTCCCTCCCTGCTCAGCCCCCCTCCCTTCACAGGCCTTCTTCCTCCCTGCTCAGCCTCTCCCTCCCTTCTGACAGCTCCCCTCCTTTCTGAAAGCTCCCTCCCTTCACAGACCTTCTCCATCCCTTCTGACAGCCACCCTCCCTTCACAGACCCTCTCCCTCCATGCTCAGCCCCCTCCCTTCACAGACCTTCTCCCTCCCTGCTAAGCCCCCTCTAACCTTTGACAGCCCCCCCTCCCTTCTGAGAGCCCCCCTTCCTTCACAGACATTCTTTATCACTGCTCAGCCCCTTTCTTCACAGCCCCTCTCACTCCTGCTCAGCCCTTCCTTCCCTCTCATAGCCCTCCTCTCCCTCTCCCTCCCTGCTCAGCCCCCCTTCGCTTCCTTCTTACAGCTCCCCTCCCTTCTCAGACCCTCTCCCTCCATGCTCAGCCCCCTCCCCTCACAGACCCTCTCCCTCCCTGCTCAGCCCCCCTCCCTTCACAGACCCTTACCCTCCTTGCTCAGACCGTCTTCCTCCTTGCTCAGCCCCCCTCTGTTCACAGACCCTCTCCCTTCCTTTAAAGAACCTCTCCCTCCCTGCACTGTCCACCCTCCATCCCTTTACAGACCCCCTCCCTCCCTGCAGATACCCCCTTCTCTCCCTGCACAGATTCCCGCCTCTCTCCCTGTACCCTTACAGTTCCTTCCCCCTCCCTCCCCTGCACAGACCCCATCTCTCCATACATCCACAGACACCCTCCCTCCCAGCATCTTCACCGACCCCCTGCACAGATCCCCTCTCCCCTTCACAGACCCCCTTTCTCCCTGCACCCTCACAGGCCACCTCTCTCCAAGCACTCATAAATTCCCTCTTCAATAAGTACCAATACAATTGTTAGTTTCACCAATAATTCTACATTGCCACTTTATTGGTGAAACTGACAGTTGTATTGGAATTTATTCAATGAAAAAATCTTTTGTGATAGAAAACATCCTGTATTTGGGTCGAGATAGGGGCAGCTAACTCAGGGACAGCTCGGGCGGCAAAAGCTCTAGCTACGCCACTGCGTACATGTTAAAGGAACACTATAGGGTCAGGAACACAAACATGTATTCCTGACCCTATAGTGTTAACACCACCATCTAGCCCCCCTGGGCCCCTCATGCCTCCATAAATATAGTAAAAATCTTACTGTATTCAAGCCAGAAGCTGTAACTCTGCATGTTGTTTGCCTAAAAAAAAACAGTCTGCTGACATCATCAGAAGTGGTAGCCTGATCCAATCACAGTGCTTCCCCATAGGATTGGCTGAGACTAACAAAGAGGCAGATCAGGGGCAGAGCCAGCATGATTCAAACACAGCCCTGGCCAATCAGCATCTCCTCATAGAGATGAATTAAATCTATGAGGAAAGTTCAGTGTCTGCATGCAGAGGGAGGAGACACAGTGCTGCCCTGTGCTCTGCTGACAGCAGGTCTGAGTGGATAGAGGAGTTTTATGCCTGAATCAACTCGGAAGTCCCTCTGGTGGCATTTTGAGTGACTGCAACTGGAGGTGTTCCTAGCTTTCAATGTAAACACTGTTTTCTCAGAAAATACAGTGTTTACATGAGAAAGGCTGCAGGGAGCTATAGTTCTCACCTGAACAACCTCATTAAGCTGAAGTTGTTCAGGTGACTATAGTGTCCCTTTAACCCTGATTGTGTTGTTATGCCAATAACAAGTTACGGGTCTAATATGATTGCAACTATCTAAATTGTTGTTTGTTTTCTTTGCAAATGCAATACAAAATGTGAAATTAAAATAAATGGCAAAAGTTTAACTGGTTACTAGTTATCCTCCAAAAAGATTGACCGTATCTTGAGAGTAGAAACACTGTAACTATATATTCCACAAGAACCTTGAAGAAATAAAAATAGATATAGTGTAATACAGTAAAACCACAGTTTCTTTAACCAAAATATACCCAACTAGAGGGGCTTGGAGGCCATGCTGGACTGTCACAGATGACTTGAGCTTCCAACTAAACTTGATTAAATGGTGATTTAAAGGGTGAATATACCCCACTACTGAACCTCCTTTGGTTGGTACCCTCATCTGGCATAGCTGGGGCACCTTTGGAGTGAGTTGCAGCATCAGCATCTTTTCAAGCTTTTCTGTAGTTCCAAACACCCAGTGGTATTATTGCCAATTTCATCAAGCATGTGTTTTAGCTATATAACCTATGTCTTACGCTCAGCTAACAATGACTAGCTAAACTCTACGGTGACCACCTCCTGCCTATAGCTAGACGGTCCTCACTTTTTCTTGATGTCTTCTATGACACTACTTGTTACCTTGTATGTTGCATGTTATTTTATTGCTCAAAAAAAAAAAGTTTGTTATAGTATCTGCATGGCTGAGCTTGGGCATATTTTTCCACAATTTGAGTTAGTGCAAGAAATATGGATAGAAGTATATAGTAAGGAAGTATTTTTTAAGCAAACACTAGTTAGATATATTGAAAGCTTATACATATGGTCAGAATAATGTCTGCTTGTGACTGTACTGATCAACAATGTATTAATCAAAACCTTTTGATAGGCATCTCAAAATATGAAAAAACATATAGGCGCTGCTGAGATTCGAACTCAGGATCTCCTGTTTACTAGACAGGCGCTTTAACCAACTAAGCCACAGCACCACACACTACTAGACATATATACTGTATCTATTTTAAGAAAGTTTACTACTGTTGTTTGTTTGCTATTTCACTTTTTATGATTTATTATTATTATTTTATTATTTATTTAGCACCATCAAATACCATAGCGCTGTACAATGGGTGGACTAACATACATGTAATTGTAACCAGACAACTGGACGTACAGGAACAAAGGGGTGGAGGGCCCTGTTCCATGAGCTTACATTCGGTATAAATGGCAGATATTTCAGTGTTATAGTAAAACTATTAATAATGTAAAATTATTATTGTGTAAATTTTAATATAAAAGTTTAAAAATGAAACAGCTTAAGTATTAAACGCAATTGTTCAAAAAAAGTCAAACACAAATATACAAACTCTATCTGAATTCTGCACATAACAATAAAATTCCTTCAAATGGCCAAAGTTTCAATTAGTTATTTGCTAAATTTGAAATTCAACTTGAAAGAAAAGACCAAAGAAGCCAAACTGCAGACTTAAATGTTTGTTTTCATTTCAGCTATTTAGTTCTTAAATTTTAAATTCACTTTAAATTAAATGAATTCCAAACAATTCTCACTTTAATGTTCCCTCTTTTAGGGTTTGAATGGCCACTCTCCAGGGTTTAAATTACAGTCACTGTGGACAAGTAGAAGTTTTGAGCCCTGTAGAAGCGCCTCTCTAATTAGGTGATTTAGGCGACTGCCTAAGGCCTCGCACTGCCTGGGGCCTCGCAGCCGCCTAGACTACCTTAGGGCAGACTGTGTCAGGTCCTTGGTCAGTTACCGAGGACCCGACACCAGGAGAGGGCCCAGCGGCTTGCTCTGCATGCCGCTGGGTGCGAGGCCCCTCCAGTCTGCCTGGCCGGAGAGCGCCAATTGCAGACACAGGTCTGCTTCTCCACAATGTACAGTGCTGCAGACCATGTGTCTCGCAAGATTTGGCCAATCAGAGTGTTACCTTTGATAGGATCTTGCAAGATGCATCAGAGCTGCACACCGGATATTATGGCCACCGGACCACCAGGGAGCTAACAAAAAGGTATTTAATCCCTTACCATCACCGCCCCCCTCCCCCCCTCATACCATCATCACTCCATCAATACCCCCTCCCTCACACCATCATCACTCCATCAATACACCCACTCCATCAATACCCCTACTCCATCAATACCTTCCTCCCTCACACTATCATCACTCCCTCCCCCTCACACTATCATCACCCCCTCACACCATCATCACCCCCTCACACCATCATCACTTCCTCTCCTTCACACCATCATCACCTCCTCCCTCACACCATCATCACCTCCTCCCTCACACCATCATCACCACCTCACCCATCATCACCCCC